CCTGCGCCGTCGCCCGCGGGCCGCGGCGGGCGGCGAGCCCCCCCGCGCGCCCCGTGGGGAGGCGGGGTCCGCAGCGGCGCCCGCCGCGGCCCCCGCCCCCCCCCCGCGCGCGAGCCTTGCGCCCGCGGGCCCCGCGAGCCTCTCTCGTGACTCCGCGGCGGGGGCGCCGGAGGCCCAGAGCCCCTCGCGAGGCAGCGAAAACAAACCTCACGACCAGAGGTTTTTCCATATACTCTCGGCCTCGGGAGGCCCTGACCGGGCCTGTCGGGGCCGCCGAGGGCAGTCGACGAGGCCTCTCGATAGGTCGACGCCGCGAAGAGGTCGCCACGACGTCGGGGGCCCTCCCCCTCGCGGGCCGGTTCCCTCGGGAGGGCGCGGGCCCTCCCGGGCCCGGGCTTCCCCGGGCCCGGGCCTCCTCTTGCCCAGACCCCCTTGGGCTCGGGCTTCCCCGTTCCACTCCGGGCCCGCGGGCTCGGCCCCCGGGCGCTGCCCGGACGCGCCCGCGGCCGCGCGTGCGCCACGGCGCCTCCGTCGCGAGCGCGCGGGCTCGCTGCGGCTCCCCCGCTCCGCTATCGAGGGGGTGTCGGTGGCTGCCGGTGCCGCTTCGATCCGGGTTCGGACTCCGCTTCGCACTCCGGCTTCTTCGCGGAGGCCCGTCTGGCCTGCCGATTTCCCGCCGACTGGGCTTCTCTCGATCTGGTTGCCGATTTTTCCGCTGGTGCGGTTCATGCCGATTCGTGCCGGTTGGCTCAAAGCCCCTCCCGGGAGTACGCGTCTCAGCTACACACCGAACTTCCGTGATGCACTCGACAATGGCAAGGTCGGCGCTTCTTTGTTTTGGTTCTCTATCGTTTCGGGTAGCTCTTGCTATGCAAGGGTTTCACAAGCAGGAGCTGGTCGCCCCGGCCGACGACGTCCATAGCTCGATGAACCAGAGCGGCCAGGCGCGCCGTGGTGCCTGGATCAAGATATACCAGATCATCAACGGTGACCGCAGCTCGCATTCGTTCCCTCAAAGCACAGGAGCTGTCGGAGACATCAACTCGGGTGTGGTTTCAAGTAACGCGAAGTTGTCCGACGCGGCAATCAATTCCATGAGCGCCCCTTTGGACGGCTACACCCACATATACAGGGTCACTAGCTCAGAATGCGGCGACGACCTGTTCATTCGTACGACTGATAGTTATGTTGGCACCTCGCCATCGTTTGGTGTCACCCAAGGAAGTACTCAACTTGGGCTCGGATCTGGATACAGCGCGGTTTCGACGTGGGCCACTCTCTTCCACAAGCCACGGTGTCGATTTGCTTCATTCGAGTCCTGGAATTGGAAGACAGTCGTGCTGCCGTTATTCAATCGCTTCGCTCATTCCGCCGGCCCGTGTTGCATGATCGATACCGCTTCGCCGTGGGCCTCGGGCCATTGTGGCGCCGCCGAGGAGGAAGAGGAGGAAGATGAGGATGGGGGCGGGGAGGGGAGGAGGAGGAGGAGAGGATGAGAAGGAAAGGAGGGCGATGGAGATCAGTAGGAGGAGGAGGAGGAGGAGGAGGAGGAAGTTGAAGGGGCGGAGGAGGAAGCCTCTCGTTGGTATCTTGTGTTGCTCTTGGGGCCAAACAGGGTCGTCGTCAAGATGCTTCTTTGGGAGGCCTCTTGGGGTCTTTTGAGAAGCCGTTCGGGGGCGCCTGGGGGGCATTTTTGAACTTCTGTGGCCTGTTGGGCCTCTTTTGGGGCGGAAGGCTCGAGTTTTCGGTTCGTGGTCCCCCTCTTGGGCCCTCTTGGGGCCGTCTTGGGGCCGTCTTGGGCCGTCTTGGGCGCCTCTTGGGCCGTCTCGGGGCCCTCTTGGGCCCTCTTGGGGCCCTCTTGGAAGCCTCTTGGCCCGTCTTGGGGCGCTCTTGGGGGCCTCTTGGGCCGTCTTGGAGCATCGGATGGCCGAAAATGCGACGCGGCCAAAATCCTTCCAATTCCATAGTACAAATTATGATTTTGGCCTCTCGGGCCGTCTTGTGAGGCCTCTTGGAGGCCACTTCGAGGCCACTTGGGCCGTCTTGGGGTCATCGTCGGCGTCTTGGAACGCTCTTTGGGCGTCTCGGGGACCTCTTGGGCAGTCTTCGGGACCTCTTGGTCAGGAGGGGGGATAGCCGATTGCGCCCCTCCCCTCGGAGGCCACGATCCTCGTGAGGGGTGTCGAAAATTGCCCGGTCTGGCATCTCTGATCCGAGTGTCCCGGGGGTGTCCTGGGGGTGCCCCGAGGTATTTTTCGCCCGTGGAGCCCCAGGGGCGGCCCCGCGCGCGCGAACTAGAATATTGTTAACCAGTTACCGGAGATCTTGGCACGCCCCTGGCCCGTCGGGCCGGCGAATTTCAATGGATATGGAGGAAACGATTGCTGGAATGGCCCTGGTGGGCAGCGATGCATCAATGGTGGGATTGAATGCAACAATCATGCTAAATTGACAGATGTCGCGATGTGCATCTACGGAGCCAGCCCCGCGACGCCTTACCCGACGCCCTACCCGACTGCCAGCCCAGCGCCAAGCCCGACGCCGAGCCCGACGCCAAGCCCGACGCCAAGCCCGACGCCAAGCCCGACGCCCTACCCGACTGCCACTCCAACGCCAAGTCCGACGCCAAGCCCGACGCCAAGCCCGACGCCGAGCCCGACGCCAAGCCCGACGCCACGTCCGACGCCAAGCCCGACGCCCTACCCGACTGCCACTCCAACGCCAAGCCCGACGCCAAGCCCGACGCCCAGCCCGACGCCCTACCCGACTGCCACTCCAACGCCAAGTCCAACGCCAAGTCCGACGCCAAGCCCGACGCCAAGCCCGACGCCAAGCCCGACGCCAAGCTCGACGCCCAGCCCGACGCCCAGCCCGACGCCCAACCCGACGCCCAGCCCGACTTCTCTTCCAGGTTGGCCGACGCCGCGACCGACTTTCCCTGCAGGTGTTGACGGTGCGGGCGGAGCAGGAGAGGTGTCTGCCACTGGCGACCCTCACTTGGCAAACGTTCTCGGTCAGCGGTTCGACTTGATGAAGCCAGGCAACCATGTTCTGATAAACATCCCTCGTGGAAGGCAAAGAAGCGCATTGCTTCGCGTGCAGGCCAAAGCGGTCCACATGGGCGGGCTATGCGCAGACATGTATTTCCAAGAATTGAACATCGCGGGTGCGTGGGTTGCGGCGACAGGGGTCGACAGCCTCTGTTTCAACGTTCAGGGTGGCGACGACGGAACTTCAAAGTGGGTCAATTTTGGGAAGGTGCAGTTGAAAGTTGCCCATGGGCGCACTCTGAGCGGCTTCCCGTATTTGAATTTTTACGTCAAACACCTTGGGAATATTGGGTTCGCTGTTGGAGGGTTGTTGGGAGAAGATGATCACGCGGAGGCAGCGATGCCTTCGAAGGCATGTGTTCACCACGCTGCCTTGCTCCATTCGTCGGCGTCTCCAGAATATCGCAGCGAATCTGCATCGGCTGCAGAAGCAAGTTTTTCTTGACGTCAGTTGGTTCCAATGTTGGAATCGCACAAGCGAAAGAGGGGCAGCATGTCCTTCGCTGCATCCTGCGCGGAGCAAGATCGTTTCTCCTTCTTTCCTCTTGCCCGGCGTAGCTCGCGACGAGCCCCTGGTGGGTCCATGCCCGCCCTTCTGCTCAGACGAGGGCATGTAGCCTCTTTGCGTTTTTCCGCCGCCTCTCTGCGTCCGCATCCTATCCCGCATGCTTTGGGCTTTCTGGCTTGACCGACTCGTGCGTGCGACCATCGCAAACTTAGAGGTTGACACCGACACCAATATCGGCGGTGTGCCGCCACCGAGGGAAGACGATCCCGATCACGCCGATGGTGGAAATATTCTGGCTTCCAAGGTGGCCGAGCTATTACCACCAGCACCGAAATCTAGGATCATCTTCCCCCTGTGGAGGCAACCCCCTGTGTTGGTGCTGGTGGCCGTCTCCGGGCTTCGAAACAGCTGTAGTTGTAGGGCGGCATGCTGCTGGTGCGTGCGAGTGCCTCGGGTTCTCGGATCGAGCCTGGGAGGATGAGCTGGGCATGCCACGACAGTGGATCCGCACGATCCTGGGCGGGGCGGGCCATCGGGCCACTGCACCCTGCCCGGAGCAAGATCGTTTCTCCTGCTTTCCGCCTGCCCGGCGTAGCTTGTGACGAGCCCCTGGTGGGTCCATGCCTGCCCTTCTGCTCAGACGAGAAAAATGTAGCCATCCTTGGGATGCAGCTTCGGGGAGGTTCAATTCTGTATCGTCGCTGGTACTTTCGCGGTCGATGACCTGCTGAATCTCGGCCATTCTGGCTTCATTCGGCTTGTCCGGCTTGGTCCCGCTCGATCGTGTTCAATCTGGCCTAATCCCGGGCTTCGTGTGGTTGAACCTGGTGAAATTGCCCTTACTCGGGCTCAATCGCCATAGACCGTTTCAACGAAGACCTCCCAGAAGTTGCTTCCTCACCATATCTCTACCCATGCCTCGTTTTCCCCTCTTTGGGCCTCCTGAGCAGCCTTCGTCGCCACCGCTGGATTCGCCTCGAAATCCTGGTCAGAACGCACCCCGGGAGATGCCCGGGGAGTAGCTGCACAGGAGGAGGAGGAGGGGGAGGAGGAGGAGGAGGAGGAGGAGGAAGAGGAGGAGGAGGAGGAGGAGGGAGTTGGAGGAGAAGGAGGGAGTTGGAGGAGGAGGAGGAGGAGGAGGAGGAGGAGGAGGGGAGGAGGAGGAGGAGGAGGAGGAGGAGGAGGAGGAGGAGGAGGAGGAGGAGGAGGAGGAGGAGGAGGAGGAGGAGGAGGAGGAGGAGGAGGAGGAGGAGGAGGAGGAGGAGGAGGAGGAGGAGGAGGAGGAGGAGGAGGAGGAGGAGGAGGAGGAGGAGGAGGAGGAGGAGGAGGAGGAGGAGGAGAGGAGGAGGAGGAGGAGGAGGAGGAGGAGGAGGAGGAGGATAAGGATGTGCCGACGCTGTGCTGCTGGCCGCCTGGTGAGTGCCCCCCCCCCGCTGCTGGAGGACGACTGGTTCGCGCGGTGCCTGGGGAGCCTCGGCGCGGTCATGAGGGAGGACACGGGCCCCTTGCCCCGCGCTGGTCGGTGGGGGGGGGAGGGGGACTCGTCGAGGGTCGAGGGTCGAGTGTCGGGGGTGGACAGACCTCCTGCCCTGACATGTCGATTAAGGAATTGGCTGTTTTCGGTTCGCGAGAGGGCGTCGCGGCCGTCATTTTTTTGCGGGTCCAGGTCCGTCGGCTTCGGTCCGAGGCCGCCCTCACCAAGGGGAGGTTCACTCCAGATTTCGTAATAAAGGGGGGGGGGTCTCATTTCGGGGGGGGGTCTCTTCCAGGCTATCTTGGAGGGCCTGGGGGGGTCTGGGGACGACGTTTTGGAGGGTTCTCCCACGGGGGGGGGTCTGAAATGGCTTGTCTTGGAGGGTCCAGACCCCCTCCCTTTTATTACAAAATCTGGAGTAAGCATCGGGGGTGGACAGAACCCCCACAGTGACACGTCGATCAGTGAATTGTCCGTTTTCGGTTCTCGAGAGGGCGCCGTGGCCGTTATTTTCCAGGCTTGCGCCCGCCAGGTTTGGGCCTCAGGTCGTTTTCACGAAACCACGTTTTACTAAAAGGGGGGGTCTGTCCATCCCCGAAAACATAATTGTTCGGCGCTCCGCGCAGATTTCTCGGATCTGCGCTGGACCCCGTGGCGGCGCCTCCGGCGCCGCCCCTGGCGCGCTCCACGCGCCAGGGAGGGGGGGCCCCAGCGCCGATCCAAGGAATCCGCGTGGACCTCCAGGAAGAAGTTTTATGTTTGCGGTCGGACCGAGGTATAAGATCGAGGTCGGTTCGGGGAGGGTGCCTTGCTGTTTTTGGTGTCTGCTGGATGTTCTTGAGGGATGTTCTGGGGTGGATGGCCAGCGGAGGGTCTCATGTTCTCGGAGGGTTTTATTCAGGAGGGAAGGAACACACACAGACACAATCCATCGTCGACTCCCAGGAGATCATGGGAAGCTGGATGGGAGAAGACAGAACATCCCAGAACCTGTGGAGACATGTGGGGATCCCTGTCATCTGTGCGTACTCCAGATTTTGTGATAAAAGGGAGGGGGTCTGGACCCTCCAAGACAAGCCATTTCAGACCCCCCCCCCCGTGGGAGAACCCTCCAAAACATCGTCCCCAGACCCCCCCAGGCCCTCCAAGATAGCCTGGAAGAGGCCCCCCCCCGAAATGAGACCCCCCTCCCTTTCTTACGAAATCTGGAGTATTGCTCTGTGTGTGTCTGTGGGCCCCTTCCCTTCCTCCTGGCCCGGGCCCCGCCGCGCGCCGTGGCCTCCTGCCTCCTCCTTCAAAGAGAGGGGGGCCCCGCGCGGCCCCGTTGCGCGCGGCCTCCCGCGGCGCCGCCCCCGGGGGCCCTCCGAGGCTGGCCCGGGTCGACGGCGGGCCCGCGCCGGGGACGGCCCCCGGGCCCGGGGCCTCCGATGAGAAAATCATGACGGGAGGTTTTTCCTACTTTTCTCGGCCTCTGGGGGCCCTCACCGGGCTTCAAAAGGATTGCAAAAACACCCGAAGGAGTGCAAAAACACCCAGGATTGCAAAAGAGCCCAGGATTGCAATCCTTCACCCAGGGTTTTTTTGCAATTCTTGGGTTTTTTTGCAATCGAGCGTCAAAAAACGACTCAGGATGCAAAGCCGGTCATGGGGAAAGGGTCGGGACCTCTGGGGGTCGACGTAATGAAAAGATCATTACGTCGGGGGTCTGGGGCTGCTGCAGGGCCTGGGGGGCACCGGGCTTCCCCGGCGCGGGCGGAGCGGGGTCTCAGGTCACCAGGGAGGACTCGGGCCCCTTGCCCCGCGCTGGTCGGCGGCGGGGGGGAGGGGGACTCGTCGAGGATCGAGGGTCGAGTGTCGGGGGTGGACAGACCTCCTGCCTTGGCAAGTCGATTAGGGAATTGGCCGTGTTCGGTTCGCGAGAGGGCGTCGCGGCCGTCTTTTTTTGCGGCTCCAGGTCCAGCGGTTTTCGGTCCCAGGCAGTTTGCACTAAAGGGAGGTTTTTGTAAAGGGAGGTGTGTCCACTGCCGATCCAGGGAGCTGCTGCAGGGCCTGGGGGCCACCGGGCTTCCCCGGCGCGGGCGGTGCGGGGTCTGAGGTCGAGGTCGGCTTGGGGAAGGTGCCCTCGCCTTCGTCGCGTGGGCCGGGTGGTCTTGTGCATCCTGAGGGAGGGCACCCTCGGGTGATCTTCTGGTTTGGGTGCCTTGGTCGGTGGAGGGTCTCATGTTCTTGGGGGATTTTCTTCCGCCCTGGGTCTGGCCGCAGAGCTCGATCACAGTGGTGGCAAAGGTGCAAAAGGCGGGTCGAGGAGTAGGCGTGCGGGGCCTGTGTTGTGGGGTGCTTGTTCTGGGTCTCGGGGCCGTCTTGGGAGCTTTGCAGCCGTCGCTGGGGTCCTGCGGTGGCACAGATCGGTCTTCGAGGCCCCTGGGGGTGGTTGGGTCCATCTGGTGCTCGTCTTGGGATGGTCGAGGCCGCTTTGGGGCGGTCTCTTGGGCCGCCTTGATGCCGTCTTGTGGAGCAGTCTTGGGGCCCTCCGCGAGGCTTGCTGGCTCATCAGGAGGCCTTTGGGGACGGCCCGACGGCTGTCCGAGGGCCTCCTGAGTGCCAGCCTGGGCCATTTGGGCGGTGGGGCTAACGTGTAGAATCACATTTACCTGGGTGTTCCAGAAAGGTCATCGCCTTTGAGTGATCGAGAAGTTGACCTCTCCTCGGATGAGGACGTCGGCGGAGGGCATGCGGAACTAAAACGGGGTGCTCCGCTGGCGGACGGCTCGCGGAGACCACGCGAGGCTCAAGACGGGAGTCCATCCAAACGGAGGTCAGCCAGAGCGCCGGGCTTTGCTGGATCCTGCAGAGCCAGGGGTGCACTGACCCGGTTTTGGCAGGACCTTGCAGGATCCTGCAGAGCCTCAGTGACCCGGGTTAGGATTGACCCGTTTCAGTAGGTCCCCGAACCGAAGCACCATATGAGTCCCACATCTATAACATTTGTGGGGTTCAGGGCCTGTGGAGCAAACTATGCATTTAGTTCTGTTGGGCTGTCCAGTGGCCTGCGGGAGGCCCTCGCGGAAGCCTTCTCGGAGCACGTTGGGAGCCCGGGCTGAGGTCGTCAGGCCGTTTCTCCGTCCGTCCTTCGTCTTTTGCTCTGCCTCCTCCCTCCTCCGCCCCCTTCTCCATCTCTCCTCCACCCCTATTCCCCTCTATGTCCCCCGTCCTCAGTCCTTCCTCCCTTCTCATTCTTTCCCCCCCTCCTCTTCCCGCCTCTCTCGGCCGCGCTTCTCCTCGAGACGAGCCTGCCGAGAGAGGGGCGGGGGGCATGCCTCGGCTCTGGTTCCCCGGCGCGCGCCCGCCCAGGAGGGGCGGAGGGTGGAGGAGGAGAACCGGCGGGTGCGGCGGCCGGGGGTAAGAAGAGGGCGAAGGAGGAGGGACAAAGGCAAGGCGGGGGAGGAGGAGGAGGAGGAGGAGGAGGAGGAGGAGGAGGAGGAGGAGGAGGAGGAGGAGGAGGAGGAGGAGGAGGCTCGGGGATGAGGGGGCGGCGTGGGAGCCCGGGGCAGCAGGAGCACGGCCGAGGGAGCCTGGAGGGGGGCCCGCGGAGCAGTCGTCGGCGGCGGGCCCCCCTGGCCGGGAGCCGAGGGGACGCGGCGGGCTCGGGGGAGTCTGCGGGGCTGCCTAGGGGAAACCAACAGTGACATAAACATGAAAACTCGGAGTTCCGCGCGGATTTCTCAGATCGGCGCTGGGACCCCCCGGCGGCGCCTCCGGCGCCGCCCCTGGCGCGCTCCGCGCGCCAGGGAGGGGGGTCCAGCGCCGATCCGAGAAATCCGCGCGGACCTCCGAGTTTTTATGTTTATGCCACTCTCTGTTCCCCTATGCCTCTCGGAAGCACTCGCCTTTTGAGAAGCCTTATGGGCCTTCTCTCAAGGCGGGCTTGCCCCTCTACAGGAGGAGTATTCAAACATAGTTCGTTCAACACCTGGGGACGATTTTCTGACCGTCTTGACTATTTGGGAATGTGTTTCGGTGTTTTTTTTAGATTTTTCGTCCACGATCCGCCTGTAGGGGGGACATGCCCGACCTAAGCCTTCTCCGAAGGCACAGGCACATGCTCTGGAAGAGTTGCGCGGCGAGCTCCTGGAGCGCGTAACAGCGCCCAGAAGAACATTTGGAAACTTGGGCGGTGGGCCCCTTAACTTTACAGTGTTCGGTGCTGAGAGCTCGGAGGGGCCCGAGGTCACGCGAGCTCGTGCCTCCGAGCTCGGCCGCGGATGCAGGCAGGGCCATCCAAATAGCACGAGTATGACTAGTAATCATGCTATCAAGAACAAGCAACAACAACAGTACGAACACGATTCATGCTAGCAATGATGCCACCAATCTTCCGAATGCTATCATTACTGGGAAGTCGCTGTGTATTACGAATGCTACGACCCAGGCTTTTACTGACAATGGTAGCATGGCGAAACATACGAGTCGTGGTAACAGTAGTGCTCACAACCAGGCACACAGGGAGAACGTCCGGCATCTGGCAGCAAGAAGAGGCGGCGAGGCGAGGCGTGGTGCAGCGAGTCACGGCGATGGACGGAGACGGGGGGGGGGGAGGGGCGGAGGCTGGGGCGCTCGGGTCCCACCCACCTCTACCGTGTGAGGAGGAGGGGAGGAGGAGGAGGAGGAGGAGGCGGAGGAGGAGGAGGAGGAGGAGGGGGAGAAAAAGAGAGAGAAGGAGGAGAGGAGGAGGAGGAGGAGGAGGTAGAGGGGGGAGGAGGAGGAGGAGGTGGAGGAGGAGGAGGAGGAGGAGGAGGAATAATAATTATATTACGGATAATAATGATAAGAAGACTAAGAATAATACGAATAATAATAAGCAGAAACATGATAATAATAGTAATTATAATAGTAAGAAGAAGACGAGGAGGAGGGGGAGGAGGAGGAGGACGTGGAGGTGGAGGAGGAGGAGGAGGAGGAGGACGGGGAGGCCGGTGGCGGAGGGCAGCAGGGGTTTGGTAGGGAGGGCGGCAGCCTCCACAGGACGGCGCGCTCCTCCAGCACGACAACCAGCCGCCGGGCGACAGGCGGCTCATCCCCGGCGGGAGCCTTTTGAGACGGGGGTCGGTGCAGGTGGGGGTCCGCCGGAACGCCCGATCCTGCAGGGTCCTGCAGGGCCGGGGTCGCAGGCACAGAGGTTGACACCAACACCGATATCGGCGGTGTGCCTCCGCCGAGGGAAAAGGTCCCGATCTCGGTGATGGTGGTCATATTCTGGCTTCCAAGGTGGCCGAAGTATTACCACCGACACCGAAATCTAGGATCATCCTTCCCCTGTGGAGGCAACCCCCTGCGTGTTGGTGGCCATTTCCAGGCCTCTAACAGGTTCGTATTGACTCGGGTCTGGGTGCAGGATTCTGCAGGATCTTGCAGCATCCTTCGCATTGACCCGGGTTTGGGTGCAGGATCTTGCAGAATCTTGCGGGATTCTGCAAGGCCTGACTGGCCTGGGTCTGGATTGACCCGGGTCAGAAGATCCCCGACCCCTCCCGTCCCTCTGCGCTCTCCGCTGCCCCTCCTCCGAGTAGAGAGTTTCTCCGAAGGGCTTAGGCGACCCGTCCTCCTCCTCTCTCCTCCTCCTCCTCCTCCTCCTCCTCCTCCTCCTCCTCCTCCTCCTCCTCCTCCTCCTCGGGTCGCCTACGGTCCTGGGGTAAACCGTGTAGCCCCAGCTCAGCATGGTCTCTTCTGGACTCCTCGGACATCGAAGACGCCTGCGACGAATCACCGCCGCCCCCTGCCTTTGGAAGCGCCCACGCGGCCAAGGGTTGGGCCGAAGTCTGACGACGCTGTCGGGCTACGTGCACTGCATTTCACGAGGCTTGTCCGAATCATGACACGGCGCTCGACATCGTTCTTGTTGCTTCGTTGCTGTTATCGTACCTCTTGGTGCTCTTTTGTTGCCTTTTGGTGGCATCTTGGCCTGTCTGCAGGCCATATCCGGCCGCCTCGAGGCATCTTGGGCCGAGTTTTGGGGTCTCTTGGGGGCTTCCTGGGGGCTTCTTGGAGGCCATTGAGGTTCTCTTGGGGGTCCCTCAGAGCCTCTTGGGCTGTTCTTGGGGCAGGCTGGGGGCGTCTTGGGGCCGAAGGATTGAAAAGGTACCCTCTGGACTCCGTCTTGGAACCGTCTGGGGGCCCTCTTGGGCTGTCTTAGGGGCTTCGTGGGCTGTTGTTGGGCCCTCTTCGACCCTTCTTGGGGGCCCCTTTGGCCGTCTGGGGGCGATATTGAAGGTTTCTTTGCCCTTCTGGGACGTTGTGAAAGCCGAATCGGCGAGCATGCGAAACATGCTGTTTTTTCGAAAGGGAGTGGGACGATTTTTGTTTCTTGGGACCCTCTTGGGGCGCATTTTGGGGGCCTTTGGGGCGTCTGGGCAGCTTCGGAGGCCACCTGGATGGAGGCCATCGTGGGCGCCCAGGGGGCGATGTTTCGGCGAATCGTGGCCCCCTGGGACCGTCTGGGGATGGTGCCTTCTTGGCCAGTTTTGGAGCCCTCCTCCCCCGTGGCGCGGTCGGTCCGGGGTCGTGCTCGGCCACTTGGGGGGGGGGAGGGGGGCAGATTGCCTGTTTGGGGTCCCTGGGGGGGGGATCATGGGGGAGGATAGTCTCACACGCCTCGAGACCCACAAGGGGTCGGCGGATTCCAACGATTCGAGCAAACAGCGGTGAGCGAGTGCAATCTCGGCGCTGGCACGCTCCGTTACGGGGCTGGGAAGGACATGCCGTATTTGAGAGGCTTACCTTCCGCCAGCCTTTCGAGGTTGCATTTGCCAGTTGCAGACGGCTCGGGAGGGAAAGGTCGGGTCAGCTTCCGGGCATGGCTCACTGCAACGTTCCCGCACCACCGACAAAACAGCATGCCTTTTTATTCAGCCAGAGCGTGCGTCGGATGCGCACGACTGGTACTTGAGCTGGGTTGGGCTGGGCTGGGACTCGCTTATCGATGCCGATGGGTCCGACGAGGCCCCGATGCAGCCAGGGCGGCGCCGGGTGCCGGCACGGGCCACCTGCAGCGGGTCGCGCACGCCCCCCCCGCCGCCAGGTGCTTCGACGGCTGGTGGGTGGCTATGCACCCGTACAAGGACCTTGCAAGCTACACACAGCGCGCCGGGCAGCAAGCCCTGCTCCTCCTCCTCCTCCTCCTCCTCCTCCCTCCTCCCTCCTCCCTCCTCCCTCCTCCCCCTCCTCCCTCCTCCCTCCTCCCGCCTCCTCCTCCTCCTCCTCCTCCTCCTCCTTCCTCCTCCTCCTCTGCCTGCCTCCCTCCCTCCCTCCCTCCCCTCCCTCCTCCTCCCTCCTCCCTCCCTTCTTCCCTCCTCCTTCTCCTCCTCTTCCTCCTCATCTTCCTCCTCCTCCTTCTCAGGGGCAACGTGGGGGGGCGCATCAAATCCCAGTCGCCCATGGATCGCCGATCGGAGTCTGATAGCCCACCCCGCGCAGGAACCTCCGGATCTGCTGTCGTGGGCCCATCGTCGATCTATGGGCGACGTATCGCTGACTCCAGGTCGATGCTTTCCCCCCCCTGAGCCAGCCACCCTACTCCAGATTTCGTAATAAAGGGAGGGAGTCTCATTTCGGGGGGGGTCTCTTCCAGGCTATCTTGGAGGGCCTGGGGGGTCTGGGGACGATGTTTTGGAGGGTTCTCCCACGGGGGAGGTCTGAAATGGCTTGTCTTGGAGGGTCCAGACCCCCTCCCTTTTATTACGAAATCTGGAGTATCGTTCGCCCTTCTCCTCGCGCTCGGAAGCCTTCCTCCCTCAGGGCCGATATCCAACCCATTCGGGTTATCTGGGGCGCTTGGTGATGTGAGACGCAGCGCGCCAGACAGAGCTACTTCGTACTGCTTTCGGTTTTTAGCCGCAGTGGGAGGCGCGCAGTTGAGAAGTTTTACTTGTGGGGGCGCGACACCAGGGGCCGATTGGATGGAGTCTTCACAGTGCTCTCGAAGCTGGGGAACTTTACATCCGTTTCTGGGGTCTGCTAGGCTATGCCTTACTTGTGACTTCTGGAGGTCTCTTGAGGGCTAAGGGGTGTTGAGCCCCCTGGGCGTTTTCCCGCCCAAGTCTCGCCAAGGCCGCTGACGCGTCTTGGCATCATCTGACTCTTGCGTCCTGCCGGGCCTCCTAGCATGATGATGACGACGACGACGGCGATGATGATTCTGATGGTGATTCTGATGACGATTCTGATGATGATTATGATGCTGATGCTGATGCTGATGACGATGATGTTGATGATGACGGTGGTGATGATGAATGGTGATACTGATGATGGTGAATATGGTGGCGATGGTGATGATGATGCTGCTGATGATGATGTTGTTGTTGATGATGATGACAACGACGGCGGCGATGCTGATTGTGGTGATGCTAGTGACGATGATGCTGATGATGATTCGGATGATGGTGATGATGGTGACGATGCTGATGATGATGACGATGACGATGATGATGGCGATGATGATGATGCTGCCGATGCTGATGACCATACTGCTGGTGATTATGTTGATGATTATGATAATGATGGTGATGATTAGATAATGATGATCGTGATGCTTATGATGATACTGATGATTGTGACGATGCTGATGATGATGATACTGATGACGGCGATGCTGATTATGATTATGATTATGATGATGCTGATGCTGATGCTGATGATGATTCAGATGATGATGATGCTGATGATGTTGATGATGCTGATGACGTTGATGCTGAGCATGCTGATGATGATGATGATGACGCAGATGCTGATGCTGATGATGATGACGCTGATGATGCTGATGATGTTGCTGATGAGGATACGTACGGGTTTGACGATGATGCTTCTGATTACGATGACGATGACGATGATATGATGATGCAGCTGATGCTGACGACGATGAGGATGATGATGCTGATGATGGTAACTGACGATGATATGATGATGCAGCTGATGCTGACGACGATGAGGATGATGATGCTGATGATGGTAACAATGATGATGATGATGATGCTGATGAGAACGACCATGATGAGGATGATGATGATGCTGATGATGATGATGATGATGATGATGATGATGATGATGATGATGATGGTGATGGTGATGGTGATGGTGATGGTGGTGATGATGATGATTCAGATGATGCTGACGACGATGCTGATGATGATGCTGATGACGCTGCTGATGACGATCATGCTGCTGCTGATGATGATGATAATGCTGACGATGATGACGAAGGTGGTGATGCTGATGATGACGACGATACTGATGCAGCTGATGATGATGCTGATGATGATGCGGATGATGATGACGATGATGACGATGATGATGATGACGGTTTTGATTATCGTTCTGATGATGGAAATGACGGCAATGATGATGATCATGGTGGTGTTTATGGTGATGATGATGGACATGATGACGCTGCTGATGACGATGAACATGAATACGTATTCGACGATGATGACGGTGCTGATCATGATGACCTGATGATGATGCTGATGCTGATGATGTCGATGATGATGCCACTGATGATGACGATCCTGATGCTGATTATGATGACGATGATGGTGATGATGATGGTGATGACGATGCTCATGCTGATGATGATGCTGACGATGACGATGCTGATGCTGATGATGATGTTGTTGATACTAATGATGTTGATGCTGACGATGAGGCATGGGGATTCTGATGATGATGACGATTCCGATGATGATTATGATGATGTTGATGGTGGTGACGATGTTGATGACGATGACGATGCCGATGACATGATGCGGCTGATGATGTTGATGATGATGATGTTGATGATGATGATGATGATGATGATGATGCACAGGATTATGCTGCTGCTGATGATGATTCTGACGATCATGATGATGATACTGATGATGATGCTGCTGCTGATGCTGATAGCTTTGCATATGCATATGCATACGGATTCTACGCTGATCATGCTGATTAAGATGAATATGGCGATAATGATGAGGATGATGACGACGACGATGATGATGACGATGCTGATGTTGTTGATGATGATGCTGATGATGAGGACGACGATGATGATGAGGCTGACCGTGATGATGCTGATTATTTTGATGATGACGATGATGATGATGGCGTCGCTGATGATTATGATGATGATGATGATGATGATGACGATAATGCTGCTGCTGCTGATGAGGGTTATGATGTTGGTTGTGATGATGACGATGCTGATGAGGGTGAGAATTATGATGCTGATGACGATGATGATGATGATGCTGATGATGATGATGATGATGATGATGATGATGATGATGATGATGATGATGATGGTGCTGCTGATGATGATGATGATGATGATGATGATGATGCTGATGATGGCGATGATGATGCTGATGCTTATGATGATTCTGATGATGACGATCACGATCGTTCGCATGCGTATTGTTATCACCATCGTTGTTAATAACATTGTCATTACCGTTATTATTCCACAGCCATCCTGTGGTGTTGGGTCCTCGTCTTGAAGAGACGGTCCCCGCGTCTCCTTCCTCCCGCTGCCCTCCCTCCTCCTCCCCTCCCCCCTCCTTCCTCCTCCCTGCGTTTGGCCGGCCCAGTACAGCGTTTCATGGCACCATAGGGAGCTCCACCTGAGGCCCCAGTGAGGGTTGCCACATGTGTCCGCCACACCCAGTACAGCGTTTCGTGGCCCCAGAGGGAGCTCCAGCCAAGGCCCCAGTTGGGGTTGCCACATGCGTCCGCCACACCCAGTACAGCGTTTCGTGGCCCCATAGGGAGCTCCACCTAAGGCCCCAATGGGGATGGCCACGCGTCCGCCACACCCAGTACAGCGTTTCGTGGCCCCATAGGGAGCTCCACCTAAGGCCCCAGTGGGGGTGGCCACATGCGTGCACCACACCCATGTCGGCACACTCTTCACACGTTTCGTGGCTTTATAGGGAGTTCCGTCTAAGGCCCCAGTGGGGGTGGCCACATGCGTCCGCCACACCCAGTACAGCGCTTCGTGGCCCCGTAGGGAGCTCCACCCAAGGCCCCAGTGGGGGTGGCCACATGCGTCCGTCACACCCAGTACAGCGTTTCGTGGCCCCATAGGGAGCTCCACCCAAGGCCCCAGTGGGGGTGGCCACATGCGTCCGTCACACCCAGTACAGCGTTTCGTGGCCCCATAGGGAGCTCCACCCAAGGCCCCAGTGGGGGTGGCCACATGCGTCCGTCACACCCAGTACAGCGTTTCGTGGCCCCATAGGGAGCTCCACCCAAGGCCCCAGTGGGGGTGGCCACATGCGTCCGTCACACCCAGTACAGCGTTTCGTGGCCCCATAGGGAGCTCCACCCAAGGCCCCAGTGGGGGTGGCCACATGCGTCCGTCACACCCAGTACAGCGTTTCGTGGCCCCATAGGGAGCTCCACCCAAGGCCCCAGTGGGGGTGGCCACATGCGTCCGTCACACCCAGTACAGCGTTTCGTGGCCCCATAGGGAGCTCCACCTAAGGCCCCAGTGGGGTTGGCCACATGCGTCTGTCACGCCCAGCGCAGCGTTCCGTGGTCTTATAGGGAGCTCCACCGAAGGCCCCGGTGGGGTTGTTCGCATGCGTCCGCCACACCCAGTGCAGTGTTTCGTGGCCCCAAAGGGAGCCATCTGCGGCCCCAGTGGGGGTGCCCTCATGCGTCCGCCACACCCAGTACGCCCCTCACACGCTTTCGTTTTGTTTTTGTGTTAATTGTGTTCGGTTTTCATTTTTTGGTTTATTTTCTTTTGATTGTTTTTTTTATAATTTTTTTTTAATTGATGTTTTTCTTTTATTTGTTGTGTTTTGTTTTTTGTGGGTTCTTTGTAAGTGATTTTGTGAGTTTGTTATATTAGGTTGTTGTTTTTTTAGGGGGGTGGGGAGGGGGGGTTGGGTGGGTGGGGGGGGGGGATTCTTTTGTTCAATGTTTTTTTAGTTTTTTGCCTGGGGCCCGCCCCGCCCAATATTCACAGTCACATGCATTTGCACTAGGCGTATCCATGCTCGCATTTATGAACATATTGTAGTGGCCTTCGGCCAGTGCCGCCGATCCGGGGCGCTCCGACTGATGTGATCCTTCTTCGCCCTCGTCCCTCCTCTCTTT